TTTATCCACTGGTATTCAAGACACAAAATCAATGCAATTTCCATCATTATCACCAGAATTGTTTTCAGAGGACCAATTCTAAGATCAAAAAGAGAGCTCAGTGCTCTGCATCCTTGGAAGGATGCATATCAAACATTTGGTAGATGACTAGTCTGTCCATTTGATTTAGATTGTGGGCCATATGTTTTTTCCTTAGGGATTGATTGTGGGGAAGCCATACTGGAAGATCCTCTGTTATCCCCATTCAGGGAATATAGATTAAAGGAAAGATCAGAACTACCACATCTAGTTTTCTCCATGTCCTCTACAGGTTAATTTTCTTTTTTTTTTCCTTTGATTTATTTTTTTAAATTTCAGAATATTATGGGGGTACAAATGTTTAAGTTACATATATTGCTTTGCCCTGCCCGAGTCAGAGCTACAAGCATGTCCATCCCCCATACAGCACACCACACCCATTGGGTGTGAATATACCCATCTCCTCCTCCCTCCTCCCACCTGCCCAACACCCAATGAATGTTACTTCCATATGTGCACATAAGTGTTGCTCAATTAGTACCAAAATGATGATGAGTACATGTGGTGCTTGTTTTTCCATTCTATCCTTTCCTTCCTGAACTGCCACACAGAAAAAACAGACTCTAGGGCTGAAATACCAATTGAATTGATCTTTGGCAAGGTGCTGAAAATCTTTTATCATAGGAAATATTCCTCATCTGTGCCTGTGAGCTACAAGTAAAGATTTAATGTAAACATTAATGTCGTGTCATTTTACACACACATTCCACAATAAAAATGTATTAAAGAATAATTTAAGTGACATGTAAGAAAAAGAAGATAAGGAATAAATTGCATAATAGTAATAACTTAAAAATTGTATACATCATTAACACATTACAGAACATCCTAACTGACATTAGTCACTCATTGCATATTGAGAACACCGCATATGTGGTATTTTATGTTTAGCGCCAAGGACTATAAAAATGTCTACACTTCCTAAAGGTGATTTTATTACTTCTGCCCAGTTTTTCCTCAATCCATAGAATAAGTGGCAGGGAAATCAAAGAGACTTTACATTTTATCCAAAGAAGTATATGGCATCTGCCAAAGGTAACAAAAAAAAAGACTCCTTTATAAGATCTATCTTTTAAATAAAATATGAAAGGTAACTTCTTATATGACTTTATAGTTTATAATACTTAAAAAATTCAAAGAAAGGGGAGGAACATGAAATTTCTTATTGTACCTCTTGCCTAAGAGGTACCTAAATATGTATATATGTAAATATATATAAAGCATTTTGAATAACTCAAAAATAGCCACAAGCTTCCTCTATTTTAAATCAACCATACGCTCATTTCTTTTATTTTTCTTTCTGAAATCACCATTTCCTGGTTTCAAAATCTAAGGTAAAAGTAGAAAATATTTGCTTTAATTACCAAAACTTTCTGGCAGAAATGTTTTGCTTTCTTTTGTTTTGTTGATGAAATCATCTGGAGGAAATCCCTACCTGGTTAAATGATACATAAATTCATTACTTTTTAGCATCTAATTCTTCCCCACCCTCTCAATTTCTGTTAGTAAGAAAATATGGATATGGGTACACAAAATACAGTACAGCATTCTTATTTATATTTTGTAAATTATATTCATATAGTACATTTTGGTCACTTTGTTCATTTAAAATCATATTACTAAGTCATATAAAAAAGAAAACATAAACTACCCATTTTCAATTCTTTGAGCCATATTAGGCTTTGAGGAAAAAAAAAACCCTGTATACTAAAATTTATTACATCATTTCCAAAAAATGCTATATTTAAATTTCCATAAATTTATTTAATTACTTAAAATTATTTTAATCTTGAAAAATGTTAAAGATGTAGTAGAGTATACAAATAATAAACCAGGGATTTTAAAATAAATATAATCATGGAACATATAATCTTTTATAACTGAATATAATACATTATTTTTATTTGCATGGAGGTCTTTTCATAATACTAGATAAATGAAAAACATTTTTAATTAAATCAATAGTGATTTTAAAACAAAGAGATTAAATTATTTTTAAATTTTTAAAGTAAATTAAGAACCATCTGCAGCTAGCTAATATTAACCACGAATAGACTAGTATAGGATGTGATTATAATGAACCAACTCTACCTGTCATGGCAGGATCCATATCTAATACATCTTTTTATACTACCCCTTCCCTGAAGATCTAGGACTATGCCTCATATAGTAGGCATTTAATAAATTTTGAAAGAATTATTACCAGTTTTATGCTTCATTAATAAAATTAAGACCTCTGGGATAGGAAAGTAGTTTATATCTTTACATTAACTGACTTTCACTCCAACCATCTTCTAAATTTTAATTAGTCCTCTGTTTCCCTATATCAGTGCTTATGAAATTAACCAAGGTAATTAAACGCATTCCATAGCAACAAGCCCTTAAAAATGCTTTGGCATCTAAGCAGTAACGCCCACATCCTTTCCTCTTTGGTTTCCAGTGTCTCCTCACTTGATGGCTTTGTGGTGCTTGCCTTAAAGCAGTGGGAGAATCTCTTTATTATTATTATTACTTATTATCCCATAAAGGAAGGCTTCCTAAAATTTAAAAGACACATTTTAGAGAATGGAAAGTTAACAGCACTCAAAATTAAAGTTTTATTCCTATATCTTTAGATCAAGAGATCCCAGGCTTATCAACACCCCAGGAATGGATTTTGTGTTTCCCTGCTGAAATGGTGCATGAAATCTAAATTACTACAAATCTAATCTTGCTTGTCCGTGATACCAAATTTCTTAAAGTACTTTCTGTTAGGCTTGTTAAAAGTTACTCAATTTCCTTTTGTGGTATCAATCTAATTAGAATACGTTAATAACGTGTTCTAATAACAACACGTTAACCCATGTCAAGATTCTGTATTTTGTGGGCAAAATGCCCAAGTTTTAACCTGTCCTCTCTTATTTGGAAGCATTATGAGTTCCTTTATCCTACCCAGTAGGTGACCTGTATGACATCTGATTGTTTTTCTATCTGTTGAAATTCACAATGTAATCAATAGCCTGGCTGCATCTAAGGAGTGCTGTACCCATACGGCTTTAGGTCTAAGCAGTATACAGATGTGCTTGTGGGCTTGTTTTTTTTTTTATCCTCCCACAAACTAGCAGGGAGAGTTGGAAACTTCATTAAAAAGCCATTTGTCAGGATACTAGAGGAAAGGAAAATCCTCCACAGGCTAGCTACCTAATTTCCAGCTGATCCAGGATTACTCCCAACAGGAACCATTTATTGCTTTACTGGCCTAAGTGATGGGGTTGTTAGCATCTCTTCTGGCTGACTGACCGCTTTGCAATCTAGCTGCTTTCAGTTGCTAGAAAAAGGCGTCTTAATATTCATATAGAACTTCTGTCTCGCTCTGTTCTTCCAACGTAGATCTCACAGTGTCCCTTGGGCAAAGCTTATCCTCTGCTCACTGAAACCCCAGATGTCTCAGAGTTGCATAAACAAAGCATTTGGAAATGGGTTAGACTTGTCCACGTTTTAGTCAGCCCACTAAAATTTCCAGAATTTCTGCTCATTTCAATTGCGTCTCTCACTAACACGTCCCCTGCCCTCGCCACAGGAGCCTGCATCTTCACTCCCCTTTCTTTATACACTCACAGTCATTGGCCCAGCAGATTTTAAATGTGCCATTTTATGCTGAAGACATAATGTAATGTAATTGGATTAGTTCCTTTTATTGCCTGTTGGAAGTGTTGACATCCTAACTTCAGCTCTAACTCAATATCAAAAGAATTGTAAAAATCATGAATGTACAGTTAGTGAACAGGATTCTAAGTTGTTTCTTCAAAGCTCTTTTGCACATAAAGCAATGAAATCTTGCAAAAGGTTTAGTCAGAGGAGTGTTTGTTATGCAAAAGAATGTCACAAGATCAGGACTTGAAAGTCATAAAGATGAAGAAAACTGAAATCTATAAATGTGAGAAAACAATGTATGTTATTGTGGCTGACTGCCCCAGTTGGATTCCTTTATGTCATCCCCTGATTATAACTGCTTTCAGAAATAGTGATTGTAAGCAAAGGAATTGGAGAATTAGCTATACTCTGGTGTGTGTTCGCATACAAATGCGGCTCTCAAATTTGTTTTCCTGTAAGTAGTCCAGAACTCAAAATCTAATCAAATACTTACAGTTCTACAAATAGATCAATAGAAAAAAGGATCACCTGTAGTGAAACACCATTAATTATATTTTGGATAACAGTATAATTATTTCTGGCTGATTCTTGGCTCCATATTCTTAAATACTACTTTCACAACTTTAAACACTTAATGGAAAGTAGTGTTTCCAATAACATAATACTGAAAGAGCCTTCTTCCTTTCATGGTGCATTTGTAGGAAATATTCAGACGGTGCGGTTTATGACATATCCCCCAACTTCTAATCTAGTATCTCCTTCCCATGTACCTTGTTTGGCATATAACAAAAAGAATACTTAAATCCCATTTATAAGCTGAAATGTGCTGTCCCTTGTAGGACAATAATGATAATTTTCCACAAAATCATGTCAGATGGATGACAATATTGGCAGGACCTCGGAGCTATGACCTGCATTATTTCTGTTACGAAAAGTTCAGAATAACAACATTTAGACTGAGACCACTCTTGTACCTTTTTTTTTGACACTTTAATAAGAATATTGGAGGAAACAAAAAGAGGATAGAGATGGCTTCTCAGAGAAAAATTGAATTTAGCTTGTTCAAGGGAGCCTATTTTTGTGACCAATTTTTCTCACACATGGAATATAACATTTTTTCACAGATATGAGGGTATTAATATTGTCAGGCTTTCCTGGAGGTGGCCAAAATAGTCTGTTTGGTTACTGTGTATTTTAAAATATTTATTATTTTGTCTGTTCGTTTTGTTTCCTTTGTGCTTTCATGGTGAATATCCACTGACACTCTGACATGCTTTCCTAATAAACAGGTCGTCATGGAGATGGAGGTTATTGGCCCGTTGATACTAATTTGATTGATAGAAGCACCCTAAATGGTAAGTATATAAATTAGGTTCTATTGAATTAGTTATATTAATTAAATGGTTAATTCGAGAGTGGGTAAGGCAAATTTTTTATTGACTATAAGTGCCAAGAAACCTGGACTTAGGGATTTAGTGGGATAATAGATGAAGTTATTAACAAACCTGTAGTGCATTCCATCAGGAGATGATGCTAGTGAGGGTTGACAGATGTGTTAAAAAAGAAAAAGAGAAACCCAGCATAGAGCATTTTATAAATGATACAGAGCCGTTAAATACATTTTAAATTTTAAAATAAGATTTTAAACTGCTATAAAGTATTTAAAACATTTGCAAAATCTAATTTTTTTTTAAGGAAAGTTGATACTTAAGGTTGATAGAACTAAAACCCACTCAGTTTCATAAATTAAAGTTACTGGTACTTTTCATCTGCAGAGTACATTTATTTTTCAAAATCCTCTAGTATCTTGTTTCTTACCACCAAGGTTAAGATATTAAATATTCAATATACTATTGAAATCTCTGTATGTCACATACTTATTTACCATTGCCCATTCCTCACTGTGATGTCAGCACTTCCCCAGTCTGATGTTTCCTACATATTTGTATGTATCACTAGACAGTATTATTTTGTATTTTTATAAATTTATAAAAAACTATATCATACCACATGCATTCTGCTGAAATGTGCTTTCATTTTTAACTTTGTTTTCAAGATTTATTCATGTGTTTACAGACAGCTCTCATTCATTTATCTTTGTGCTCTACAGTATTCTGTTTTATGAAATAACACATTTATTTATTTAACCATTTTAGCAAGTTTTCATGAGAAATTGGATTATTGTACAGATAAATTTCCATTAGAGTGTTCTCCTGTTGAAAAATCCAGATGGGAATCCAAACTTGTGATCTAAAAGTTGTTTGCTGAGTGTCAAATTAGAATAAAGGGGCAAGTTAAGTGATGATTTTCTATAAGAGACTATGATAATCTAATGCATCCATTTCCCCAAAGAGGATGGATGTGTGTGTGTGTGTGTGTGTGTGTGTGTGTGTGTGTGTGTGTAGTACACCAGATGCTTGAATCAAAGGTTTAATGTCCTCTATCCTCTGGCCAATGATAGACTCAAGAACATATTTGTACTTGTTGACTCTTCTTTGCTAGTTACCTGGCATACCTTCCACCACTATTAGTGACTTTTATCCAACCAGAAACAAGTACAATTTCTTATACTTAAACTTTGTCTTAGTCCATTCTTGCTGCTATAACAAAATACCTTAGATTGGTAATTTATAAACAATAGAAATTTATTATTCACATTTCTGGAGGCTGGGAAGTCCAAGATCAAGGTGTCAATAGATTAGGTGAGGGCTTTTTCTCTGCTTCATAGATGGCACCTTCTAGCTGTGTCCTCCCATGGTGGAAGGGGCAAGCTCCTTCAGGCCTCTTTTATAAGTGCAGTCAGGAGTGCTGCACCCTTATAACCTAATTACTTCTCAAAGACCCCTCATCTTAATATCACCATAACCAAGATTAAGTTTCAACATGTGAATTTGGGAGGGACATCATCATTCAGACCATAGCCAGCTTCCTGAATGCTTTTTGACCAAAACTCTTTGTGCTTATTCCCAGCATGCTTTCTCCAGATTGCTCACAACTTCCTACTGTCTCTCTCCCTTGATTTAAGTAACATTACTACATCCTGTAGGTATTTGAGTTTTAGACACTTGTTGCACCTAATGGTAGCCCCTGACACATGCAACAGGTAGTCTGGGGAGCTCCCCAGACTGTAATTTGACTTAAGCCTGGGCTATTACAAGCAAATCAGCAGAGGCATATGAAACCTTCAGCTTCCTAGTTAAAATTTTGCTAATGTCTTAAGCTTTAAGAAGGGGTATATTTTCCACTTAGATGTGCAAGTGAGGCCCCTAAGTGATAAAACTCCAATTCCACTGCACCCTTACAAAATAGGCTGCATCAACAAGAACATTTTAAAGCTTGAGTTTATAAACCTTGCATACAATGAAATTTCATACATCTCCCATTAGATTGACAGAATTATAGAGGTTTCCTGACTCTCCCTACACTTGCTAGATTCATTCTTCAAAGCATTGTAATAGAATAATGGCTTATTGTCAGGATACTCAAGCCAGCTGCAAATAAATTTAGACCTCACTAATCATTTACTTTGTCTTACAGCATGCCACTCTTTTAAAAATGCACTCTTGGAATTCAAAAAAAGAAAAACAAAGCTATAGTTCATGTTTACTTCTGTAGTTGGAAGTCCTTAATTAAATTGTAGAAACTGAAGAGGCTTCCTAAATTATTTTCTGATGACAGGTAGAATCAAAGCTAATATGTGGTGATGTGGTAATATTTTTCTTTTATGATGCATTCAATTTCAGATTATAGTCCACATTCTTAATACAGAAAAATCTTCGATTTCTGAAAATGTGTTTTGTAGCTTATATTTGTATGAATGACAGCAACTATGAAAATTACCTTGAAATAATCCTGCTTTTCTCATTGGGGAAGATAAAATGCCTATTACCTTTTGTTGATAGCTCTGTCTCCAATTTGCAAAATCAGTTTAGCAAATTTGATTAAAAGATCTATAAACTCCATACATTTTTTATTGACCTCAGCCTTTAAAAACAAAGTTAAACTTGGCAGATTTTAATACTTCGGCACAGAATTATTAATCAAAAATTAGATCACCATTATTAATTAATTTTTAATGTTCAGAATCTTAGTGCTCATAAAAACTTGACATATACTCTGTTGGAGTGTATGTCAGAGAAAAGGCCATATTTTACCCTCTGTTTCTGAAAAACTGTTGTATTATTTTCAGAATTCAATAACATTTTAACTACTCTAAATAATGTGTACATAAAGCTCTTTCTATTTCTATTTCTATGAAATGATCATTCGGAGAGTGCTAAACTATTAGAACACACTCAACTCTGTACTCACCGGACATCTTAAAAGAAAGATTCGGAAATAAAATTTTGCAGTCATTTCCTGGATGAAAAGAAAAGGAAAGGAAATGAGAGATTTTGTGGTTTTAAACTAGTCCAGTGATTACAAGACACTGTGCTCACCCATCATTCACCCATTATCTATCCCAAAAGATTTTAAGAGTCTCTATGACAAACCTCAAGTTCTAGAACTAACTTTGCCAGAGCTTGGTGCCATGTAACCGATCAAGTCATTGAAACTCTTTGGATTTCAGTTTTCATAGCATGGAAAGTGTTAAACTAGAGCAGCACTTCTTAACCTCAGCACCACTGATATTTGGGCTGGGTAATTCCTTGCTGTAGGTGCAGTCCTGCGTCTTGTAGGATGTTTAGCAGCATCTCTGGCCTTATATCCACTGCATGCCGGTAGTATCTCCCCTACCCTATGTTGTAATAACACAAAGTGTCTCTAAACATCACCAAAGTTCTTCCCCTTAAGGGACAAAATCTTTCCAGGTGAAAACTACTGAGCTAGATTATCATTCCCTAAAGGTTGTTTCAGGATACATGGGTCCCCTGAGAAGCTCCGATGAAAAGAAAAATGTGTCCCATTGTCAAATAAGCATGGGAAGACTGGTTTGGCCCCTCACTTCTCTCTGGCCAGGCCTTTCCCTTCTATTTTAACAGTAGAGGGCTCAGCCTGGAAAGAGCTTCTCTGTTTACTTACAACCTCTTAATTTTGGTGATCTCATCTACACCCTGGGCTTTGAATTCCATCCATGTGCCAACTCTCAAATCTATATCTCCAATGCAGAAAGATACAAGTTTTCTGGCTGCCGTGTTACCATTTATCATGAGATGTCCACCCTGAAATATCCAAGACTGACCTGCTCCTGCATCTCAGACATAAGGATTCTTGCTTAAGCCTAAAAACCCTGTCTTTCTTTCCTCTCCCATATACAACCCATGCTTTGCTCATTAACTGTCAAACTATTTTGTGTAGTTGTCTCCTTTGCTCAATTGTTTAATAATTGCCACCCCCTCAGTTCAAGCTATCATCATCTCTTACCTATAGAACTCCAATAGTTTCTCTGCTTCCACCACCAAGCCCTCTGCATACAGCAGCCAGAGTGGTCTTGTTAAGACAAATCAAGTCTGTCACTCCTTTGCTGAAAACCGTTAAAGGATCTGTGATAGCATTCAGGATAATTGAATGTTATCTACAACCCTCTGCATGACTGAGTCCTGTTTCTCTTTGCAGACTCATTGCGTGCCATCCTCTCTTTTGCTAACAATGTTCCAGACCCATATCCTGCTCTCAGTTCCCTTGTAAAAAAACAGGAACTAACTCTTAAAAATACTCCATGATTCAGCCTAAATGTTACTTCCATAATGAGTCCTTTCCCAAGCCCCTGCCAACAACCATATATCTTCATATTATATCTGTCTACACAAACCTTTCTACTTTCTTTTTTGGCATCAATTATAATTGTAATTTTATACAGACAAACGTGGTTTTATTATGGTTTGATTTATTGAGTTTTTTACAAATTGAAGCTTTGTGGCAATGCTGCATTGCCCAAGTCTATTGGTACCATTTTTCCAACAGCATGTGCTCACTTTGTGTCTCTTTGTCACATTTTGGTAATTTTTACAATCTTTCAAGCTTTTTAATTATTATAATATCTGCTATGTGATCTGTGATCAGTGATCTTTAATGTTACTATTGTAATTGTTTTGTTGTGCTACAAACTGCACTTATATAAGACATGGATCTTAACTGATGAATGTTGTATGTGTTCTGACTGCTCTACTTACTGGCCATTCCCTCATCTCTCTTCTTTTCCTTGGGCCTCCCTATTCCCTGAGACACAACAATCTTGAAATTGTGCTAGTTAAGAACTCTGCAATGGCCTGTAAGTATTCAAGTGAAAGAAAAGGTCACACATCTCACTTTAAATCAAAAGCCAGATTTAACGCTAGTAAGGAAAACATGCCAAAAGCCAAAATAGGCTGAAAATTAGGCTTCTTGCACCAACCCGTTAGTCATATTGTAAATG